TCCCTCTATCTGCAGTTCGGCGCACGCCATCTTGTGCGCCTCAGAAATCCCCATAATACGGAAGATCCTCTCCATCTTCCGGATCCACTCGGCCACGGCTAACGGGCCACTCTCCCCAGTGAAACGGGGCGGATCATACGTACGGAATCGGCTGACCACAACAGCCTGATCCTGCTCAACTGGTGCCTGGGGATCTCTACGCGGTGCCATTCTGAAATTCGGGAAACGCTTGAATTGATTAGTATAGCCGATTAAGAAATAGCCATACTACTTTTGAAATAATAAGGAAATAATATCCGAAAACACCTAGCTTGGCTAGAGTTCCGGTATACTTAAACTTTCGGTGTTCTGGCCCGTAATGGAGTTCTGACTTAGTCTAGAGTCCTTGGACTTAGCTGTTCTAGAGTTCTGTCTAGAGTTCTTGTCTTAGCTTATCTTTCTAGAGTTCTCCATCTAGAGTTCTTTCTTTTCTTATAGGAGGATAGTTATCTAGGCCCCATACTTGAACTGAATTTAGCACTTGCAAAACTTAAACTGAGTCAGGTGACTTACCTCGGAGTCGGCGCGGATGAGCGTGGCGTGGTCATGCTTTTCTAAACTTTGAAAGTATGCAGAAACGCAAATCTGCGCTCTGATACCACCTTCTGTCACACCCCGCCTTACTACTAGCTTTGAAAATCAGAGTAAAATTTTTGTTTTTATTTTCGAAAGAACGTGCGAGCTGGGTTTTCGAAAATACTGACTTATTGCGGGATGTGGCAGATAAAAACTTAAACTGAAACTTGGGCTTGCCCACAGACATAAAAAAACATGCAACCAAACTGTCCGCTCGCGGATTATGGAATTATACATGCATAGTCTGTACTGTCTCGCACTGTCTAGAAAACTCGCTGGCGGAAGCATCCGAAATACGAATACATAACATGCGTACATAAACTGAATAAAATACACATGATCATAAATCTAGGACATAAAAATGCTGGTAAAATATGTCCGACTCTCATGACCACGCTGCGCCACATCTGTGCTCATCCGGCACGCTCGACTCCGTCTCCTGAAAAACACAATGGGGGCGTGAGCAAACCACTATGCTCCGCAAAGACCAGTACTGAACAAAACATCATCTATAATAACGTATCATGAAACATAAATATATAAGAGCTGAAACTGTAAACTGATCTCTGATGTCTGTTCTGATCTGTGGTCAAAAGACCCTCGGCCGTAGCCGCTCGTGTGCACACGCCGATGGGGTAGAAAGGGCCTCGCCCCTCCCAACGGTCATCAGGTGGGTATAAAGGCCTTGGCCACCCAACCCGGAACTAAACTGTCTCAAACATACCTCTGCCATGGTACAGATATTATCTATGATGTGAAATCCAGTACATGACCCCCACCTGAAAAACTTGAAATCTGGTATGCAAGTGCGGAAGCTGGAGTAGCGGTCGGAGGCTCGACTCTCCTTAGGCTACATAAATATTTAAGCAAAATAATGCTAAGTATACTGCTCAGAATATTTAATCATATGCTAAAATGCTCGGACTTATCTACGCGATTAAACTGGACTGAACTGGCTCGGAAAAATACTGAAATTTCCGGAACTGGACTCGGATCAGAAATCACGAGTCAAAACTGACTCGAACCGCCGGTCGAACCGGCCGGTTCGCTGGCTGGCCGGACCGCCGGCTCGACTGGGCCGGGCGGTCGGGCTGGGTTCGGCTAGACCGGGCTCGGTCCCGTGCCGGGCCAGCTGGTGCCCGGGCACGGCGCTGGGCACGGCTGGTGCGACCGGGCTCGGTCCCTGGTGCCGCTGGACTTGGCTAGGCGCGGACTGGCGCTGGTGGGCACGGCCAGGGGCTGCTGGCACGGCCCGGGCACGACTGGTGCCCCTCGGGTGCGCGCTGGGCACGGCCGAGGCTTGGCTGAAGCCCTGTCGTGCGGCTGGGCACGGACTGAGGGTTGCTGGGGCGCGCTGGCGTGCACTGGGCACGGTACGGCGCGGACTGGCACTGGTCAGGGGCTACGCGGGCGCTGCCGGGCGCCCTGGAGGGTTCTGGGCACGCGGGCGTGCTGCTGGGCACGTCCCGGGCCGGCTGGGCTAGGGCAGACGCGGGACAGACACGGGCAGAGGCCACACGGGCGCTACTGGCCGTCCCCGAGGTCACTGGGCTCTCGGGCGTGCTGCTGGACACGCCCCGAGGCCGACTGGGCTCAGCTGACCCTGCTCGGGTCAGCCCTGGACTTGGCACGAGGCTCTGGCACGAGACCTCGTGCGCTGGGCTTGGCACGGACGCTGCCGGGCGTCGTGCGCATGGCTGGGCACGCTGGGTGCCATGGCCACGCGTGCTGGGGCTACTGGGGCTTATGCTTGGCACACGGGCACGCACTGGGCGCTGCGGGCGCTGTTGCGTGCACGCGGGCTGTGCCTCGCGCTTACCGGGCGCGGGCACTGGCTAAGGCTACCCTCTGCAGGCACGGACAGGCACTGGGGCCGGGCACTACCGCACTACGTGCGCGGCCAGTGACCAAGGCCGGCCCTTGCCGGACCTCCGGCGACTTTTCCGGTGACATGCAACTCCAAACATCATGATATGGTAAAATAAGCACAAATATCACATAAAACACTAGTGGACCCCGGGTCCACATGCATGACACTCGGGAGGGCCTAAATGGCACGTACGAGCAACTTACGTCCGAACGAACATTCATAACTTACAAAACTACTCAGGGCCGAATGTTATACATCACAAATGATGACTATAGTGGCTAACACTTAGGTCATAACATGCATGCATGAGGATGGGCCTCGGGTGGCCAAAATAGCGTATTTTCATGAATGAATTGACCAAGGCAATGAACTCCATTTATTCTCAAATTTTTACAGCATCAATGGTATGATATTTAAGGGTGATTTAACCAACATTTTCGACTTTGGCATGCATGCAACTAAAATTTTATTTTTAAGGCCATTTAATTCAAAAATTCGTAAATCATATATAATGACATGCATGGCTCGGTTTCTCTTCATGAAAAATCTTAAAATATCATAAAATAATTAATGAACATAAAAATCCCGAGCTTACCTCGGTTAGAAATGGAGATAATGAACTAGGGCTCGAAATGTGGTTATGCACGGCTTTGGTGCTAATGGTGGTCTTGTGGTGTGATTCTCTCGAGCCTATCCCTTCTAAAAGACTTAGAAAAATCTAAGTAACACTTAGAATATGCTAAGCCTCGAGAGAATATGGCTGCAAGTGGCTGAACCTCGCTGCTCCTCCTTCCCCGGGCTAGGCGCGTGCGGTGGTGCAAGGTAAGGGCTCTTGGTTCTTTTCTCTTGTTTTCTCTCAAAGTGCTCGAGCTCTCAAGTCTCAAAATGTCTAAGAGTCTCAAATGGACTGAAGAAGGCTGTTTATAAAGAGGTTTGGGCGGATTTAACAAGGTTGGGTCAAAGGGGACATGATAAGTGGTCTTATTCCACTCCATTTGCATGGGAACTTGAGAGGGGTGATGGGGCATGGCCTTGGGCTGATATTGCACGGTCTTAGAGACCATTTTCAGAGTATAATATCATAGTGGAGAGGTCAGGTCAGGTTTGGAGGTTGCATGGGGGACAAGGACAAAAATACTTGAATAAACTAATGTGTGCACATGCTTCACTTTGGCAAATGATGTGTTGACTTTCCCTTAACAATGCTTAGGGCCAAATTAGCTTAATCTAACCCTTATTAAGTCCTTAATAACCGCATGAGTTGGGTCATGGAGGATTTGGGCCGAAAACATATGAAATGGGCTCAAAATATTGGGCTGCCACGCTGCCAGCGCTGGGCCTGGGCGCTGGCCCCGGGCGCGGCACTGGGCCCTGGGCGCGAGAGGCTGCTGGGCTGCGCGGGTAGCGGGCTGCGCGCGGGCAAAACGGCTGCTCGCGTGTGGTGGTCTTGGGCCGAGTCCTAAGGCTCTCCAAGGGTCCAAGAACACTTAGAATTATTTTACCAACTTATGCCAAGGCTTAGGACAAGCCATGGGCTCGGTAGGCACGTGCTTGGCACGGCACGAGGCGCGGGTGCGGGGCTCGGCACGGGTGGCTCGGGTGAGCACTAGGGCTCAATATAAAATGTCCAAAGCTCGACTTTGGTATTCTAACACACTTAGAAAAATATTTTAAGTATTAAAATATCAACTCTCAATTTTTGACTTAGGAAAATATACTCGGAACGACAACTAGGGTTCGTGTCCGGTAATTTCTTAAATTGACTTGCTATTATTTAATAACCCAAATTAATGGATTAACCTTAACTTATACTTGAGATAGAATTATTCAAAGAATAATTTATCATGTTTGAGCATTTAGCATAAATAATATAACTCGAAAATTTCTGAAACTTACGGATTTCACTTATAGTCGAGCAGTGAAACCGTTCTGAATATTATTACTGTTTTGGGGCGTTACATTACAAATATTTTGCAGTGGCTATAAACTTGTACTTCTTGCAGAATATTTTAACTGTCGCTTTTTCTACTGTAGAGGAAGGCCTTACGAAGCGCATTTGAGGTTACTAGACTGAACACATATACCACGGTGTGACGCTTCTCTTGGTATTGTAACATGTCAATTTGGTTGTATAGTTGAACAATGTTGGTGGCCACAACTCTATCAGCACTCTTGAGATTGGTAGGATATACAGTATCTAAATCATAGGAATATGGTTCTTCATGGTTTCCGTTAGTAAGAAAAAAGTGTTGCGTGCAACTCATTAATGTTGGTTGTTTTAGTGACCTTGATTTGTGCATTGTAAACTATAATAAGATAACTTACTGAATTTTATTATCAGCTTATCTTAGTTTGTTATCTGTGAGCCCTGTACATTAATCTGATGCATTTATTCATCTGAGACCGTGAGAGTGACACATAGTTTGAAATTCAATTGGGTCTATGTTTCATGTAATGTGATTTAGAGATTTTGTTTTCTTAAAAAGTAGAAAGAAACTTCAGAAAAGAGGGAGAAATGTGGTGTGGAGGTTCCTGTGTATGCCTATGGTCGTTTCAACCTGCTATCTGCTAATGATCATCCAAGTGGGTTAGTTGTCAGGCTTAAAAGGAAGCCCTTAGTAATATGAACCTGTTGTCAGAATATTCTATTATCAATTTAAAGGGGTTTGTTGATTACAAGCATCAGTAAAAATGGGGTTGTGCATTTACCAGTTCAAAAGTTGAAATGTGAGATCTCTAGTGGAGTATGTGGATGCATAATATGTGTTTGTTTATGGCATCGTTTGGTGAACATGCATTCAGGTCTTTGACAACTAAATATTGGTTCCACTTTATTTAGTTGTCAAACCAGAAGTTTGTTTGAGTGTTTTTTTTTTCTCCTACACAGGAACTTGTCAACCACGTGGATGAAATTGTTTTAGAACAAGCACTTTTAGCTCCTGTTATCGCTGTAGCATCACCTTCTGCGATTCGGTAAAACTGTAAACTTGTGATAGTTATGTGTGCTCGTCTTTTTTACGAAACAATTTGCTGAATCTTCTTGTGCATTACTTTAAATATTATAATTGCTTAGAGGATACTTGGATACAAAATATCCAAAAAAATCTAATCATTTTAAACCAATCACTTTTTTTTTTTTTAAACTCAAATTTAATTCAGTTTTAACAAAACCTCAACTATCCTCAATATTATCAATATAATTTAATATTATCAATCCATCATTCTTACACATTAAATCAGTTTTAATTTACTATTCATCTACTCACATAATTTTAACTAACCATCACTTCACATCATCTCCTTCCTACTTTTACATCAAATCTATTTTAATTATTTTATTTTAAATATTATTTTTATATAAACTCACAATTCCACTAACAATTAACCATACTTCAGTTTTTAAAAATAAACAAACAAACCACAAAATCTGATATCCAAGCATATAGCTTTAAGTTACCCGCAACATTAGGAATCATGTTCTGTATGTTCCGTTTTTCTTGTTTTATCCGTCAGCTAGCTTTTACATGAACGGGATGCCTCAGGTAGGCATTAACTCAACTTTAAGGTTAGCGGTTTTTGTTTTTATTTTTTATTTTTTTTATATTATTAATTTTATCTACCCCCTTTGTTTTTTGTTTCCCACTTGTATCAGTGCATGGATTAGCTTAATACCAGAACCACAACGGTGGGATAATGCTGTTGCATGTATAGGGGAGACAACTGCTTTAGCTGCTAAAAAACTGGGATTAAGGAATGTGTATTTTCCAGAAAATCCAGGCATTGAAGGGTATGTATTTTCTCTTGAAGAGCTATGTCTTCTAAACTCTCTCAAATCTTATGTCTGCTTCAGTATGCATTTCCCAAACTGAAGTCTTTTTTGATCTACTTTTATTTTCCAATGGTCAAAGTACCTTCAAATTAAAAACTTAAATTCATGGGTTTATTCCATGGGGACATTTTATTTCTCATATTTCGCCGGTGATGAGAAATGTCTGGAGTCGAGAAGAACATGTTTTTATTTGTCCACATTACTTGTAAATCATTATATCATATACGTGTTATATATCTCCTTCATAACTATGATAAAGCAATATCTTCACTAAATACATTTAATACAATAAATTTACAGCTGAAAACAACTTTCAAAATACATCTTATAAGCTTTTTTTATTTATGCTTCATTGACTGCTTAGCTTCCTATCCTTCTATTATCCGATTGACCAGACTATGTTCCTTCTGTAAATTTTTCTGTAATACATTTTGATAATAGCAAATGAAGCTGCATTATTCTCTTATAATGAATTCATCTGTGCTTATGCATAGTGATATTCTGTACAACAACAACAACAACATACCCAGTATATTCCCAACTGGTTGGGGTATGGGGGGTCAGTTGTACGCAGACCTTACCCTTGTAATTATACAAGGAGGCTGTTTCCGTAGCGACCCAAGGTGCATAGTGATATTCTATATGTTAGATAAATCAAATCGTATTTCACTTTTTCTCCCCTTTCCCTTCCATTTCTTCTATCAGGTGGGTTAATAGCATATTGGAAGCCTTACAAGTCCAAAACCAATTACAGAAGGTATGAAGGTTGAACATTACACAAACCGGTGTTTGATCTGTGTTTTAGAATGATCTTTCATGTTCAGCTGCGTATATGTTGCTGGCTCTAGAGGATTCAATTTTTTCCGAGGTAAGCGCGAAGACCAACCATGTATAGTTATATAGTTTTTTGTATGTACGGGATTGTAGGAAAATACTTGACGGTGATGACCTGGTGCAACTAATGGCATTTAGTATGTTAAATGTTAATATTTCATCTTGTTTCAAACTTTGAGTTGGTGATTTTTGTTGGAATCTGCTGTCTGTTTAACTGCATTTTCACTGTTAACTGTTTGAAGACGATGGGAGTATGGTTTTAAGGATGGCCAGTCTGAAAATCCATGATATGGCTGGGGAAGACTGTAGGTTATGAGTTCCCCTAGAAAGGGGAACCATGTCTTGGATTGTTAGGGCGTGCTTGTTTACAAATTAATTCGCTCAAAATGAATTTTTGTTGTTAACTAGGGTTAATTTTGAAAAAAGAAGCGGTATAGTTAGTTGTTAGTGGAATTTTGAGTTTATATTAAAATAAAATAATTAAAGTGATTTGAAATAAAAACAGGAAAGGGATTATATGAAATAATGATTAATTAAAATCATGTGAGTGGATTAATAGTGAATTAAAGTTGATGTGATGCGTCAGAATGATTGATTTATATTTTATTTAAATGAAATATTAAGGATAGTGGAGTTGAGTTAAAGTTTAGTTAAATTTTGAGTATGGATTAAATATGAATGAGATATTTTGTAAACAAACACCCCCTTTTTAGTATTCTCTTATTTATTACCAATGTCAAAGATTTATGCAGAATATTGTCACCCTTATTTAGTAATGGAATTTAGTTTCGGTTGTAATTAGATGCTTTCTTTCTCTCTTTAACCTTTTATTTTGGATTTTTTATATACTTTTGTATTATATTACTTGATTATACATTATATATTATATATTAAAAAAGCACGTTAGTTTAACCGATATGTCTACCTAATGACAAACTTAATGGAAAATATAAACTATAACGTACAATTCCTATTATTATGTCTTGAAGCCCACAGTTGTGCTGTTATTTTGATTCTGTAATTGTTCGCTTATTATCACTCTGTAACTAATTTCAGATTTACGTTTATCGGTCTCATATCATTGTAAATTAACAAAGTTAGAAAGTAGTACTGTAAATTATAAATAAAAGAAATCAGCTGTGAAGAAATTACAGTTGAAGCAGCAGCAAATGCAACTCCTGGTTCCCAAGACAAATCTCTTTCTCTCTCTATGCAGCAGCTTCGGTCAAGCTATTGTGAGCTCTTTCAAGTCCTTTTGTAATATGTAAATTGACCCAACGTTGTAATGAAAATGAAAGAAACAAATATAACTCTCAATTATCATACAAAAATATTGAAAAAGAAAAAGTTGCTCAGCATATGAAGAAAAATGCAATTCAACATGGTCGAAGAGGCAAGTAAAAACAGCCCCTATGTTGGCAGCAAGTGTGGTAGGCTGCACGATGACAAGGGAATATCCATTAAGTTAAGAGGGTATAAAGTTAATTGTAGAGTCATGCTATACTTCAATAGATATTATTTTTTTATTCTGAAAAAAAAGGGTGCAAACAACATAATTGTAATATTTGACGAAAATAATGATAGATAGGGTTCTCTACTGGATATCAATTTTCCTTTAGTCATCAAAAGAAAACTACAGCTAACAGAAAAGGAAATGAATACAGATACAAAACCTATGAATTATTTAAAGTAAGATTGTTGGAAAATAATTCAGTAAAAATTGAAAATTTATAGAATAATTGTTATACAGAATTTAGAGTTAATTGAGAATGATATGGAAAATATATTTTACTGCCAAAACTGAAAAAATTGAAAACGGTGAAAATGACCTCAAAACACTACCAATAAATAGGATTTTTTGCAGACTTTTATTATATTTAACTGATAGAGTAAATTAATTAATAATGGCCAAAACTGAAAAATTGAAAACGGTGAAAATGCCCTTAAAAACACTACCAATAATTTAGGATTGTTTGCAGACTTTTATTATATTTGGTTGATATAGTAAATTAATATAGTCACGTGGTTGCAAATGGCATGTCCATATCATATTCTGCGAACAATCATCACTCATCACCTTCTCACCGCCCAACGTCATTATTATGGCTCCTTGGCTCCTTGATATATCGCATTTTAGATTGATGGCAGCGTGCTTTTATTTACCTTTCCATTTGTTCCAAATATATTCTTTGAGTGAATTCAAAGCATAACGATTCTAACTTTCAAATAACGATAAACAGGGACGGATCTGGAAATTTTGTTTAGTGTAGACCTAAAACTATTTCGAGAGGTGGCAAGATAGTCTAAATGGAAAATGAAATTTTCACATTTTTTAATTGTTTTATTTAAAAAAAATTATGATTATTAAACTCAATAAGTTTAAGTATTTTATACTCAAAATATTTTACAAACTTAAAATTTATAATCCAATTTCTTTTAAGTGCGATAGAACATAAACTTCAACATCTATTTTACAGATAAAAAATAAATTAGAATTATAATGTTATTACAATATTTATAAATATGATTGGATCCAACTAGTCGTAGCTGAAATCAATCAAATGATCATTTTGGTCGAACCGATAAAAAACGCTCAGAACTGTCAAATTGGATGGATTCAATTTTTTTTCTTTTTTGAAAAATAAGTTTTGATAATATAAGTATATTTTTAAAATAAATAAAAATAGTTTTATAAATATTGAATATCTATAAATTATTATAGTGATTGGTTTAGAAATTTGAATATTTTAAATTATCTAAATGTTTAATTAAGAATAATTTTATATAAAATAGTTGATTATTTAAACTAATATATATTTACAAATATTAAATGTATTAAGTACCAATTCAAGTGTTGACCAATGAACTTGTAGCTTGACAAAGCTTGGTTGTTAATTTCTGAACAAATAAATATAAAAAAAAAAGTAATATAAGTGAATTAAAAATAAAACTATATGCACCATGGCTACATGGATGGAAACCAATAAAAGACAGTATCATCACCTTTTATTTCTATTCATTTTCCCCTTATATATATATGTTTATCTCTAAAGTTTTGTTTGCTTATGAGTTATGACTTGTTAGTGACTTTTTAGAAATAACTAATTTTACATCCAATGTAAACTTTTTATCCAAAAATTGAGTGAGGGCCTAGGCCTCCACTGGACTCAATATGGATCCTCCCCTGACGATAGAGAATATATATAACAAACGCAGAAATGTGCAAAGATATAACCTCAAGTTGAAAAATACAACCCAAAGCTGAATAAAATGGGAGGACAGGTCTGACGACCACCTAGAAGCCCAGCACTAACAAATGCTAGAAACCAAAACAAGACACTCGAGACAACAACACAACAAACACAAGGAAAAACTACAACAAAAAGCTCCCCACAGGAGAATAGAGACAAGAGCTGATCCGCATAGGATAATGAATTGCTACCGCTCATAATGAGGCCAACGGCCCAGACCTAAGAGACAGAACATAAGCACACAGGAAAACTGCTTAGACCAAAAACACAAAACTACCACAGAAAACAACAAACACAAAAGTAAAACGAAAAAGAAGTCGTTCCACAGCAAATCAACCGGACCAAACCAGCAGAGAACAATCGATATCAAAGAATAATCCAAGTCCAGGGAACCATGCACTTCTGAAACTGCCACAAGGCCTATACAAAAGCCGAACCCGAACATGAGCTAAACTCCGAAAAAACGACCCGCCACCAACCGGAGGAACAAAAACGAAACCAGCCCCCACTCCAGCTCCAACCAAACCCGTCTAACACTACTAGTCGAGCTCGAGAGGAACCAATGCCCCGCCGCCTAACACCACTAGTCGAATGGAGAACGGTAAGGGCGGTTTGGCCACTCGACGTCGGCCTCCCCGACATTTAAAATGCTTCGGCATCCAGAGCAGCGCCCCACCCATAGCTACACAACTCCGCCCATCATAACCACAAACCCGCCGGCGACCAGAGCCCGAATATCCCGTCGGAAAGCCGTAGCCCACCAATGGGATCCCCAGTAACCCCAATGTCAACCCAACACAGCCAATAGACGGAAGCATACCTCAAAAGCGGCCCAAGAAGCCGGAGGCGATTGCAGTCAAAGATTCCGAGTTGGAGAAGAAAAGTCACCAGCTCTGACCGCCACAATAAAATTCGTCGCAACCGCCAGGGCCCCGACCCATCCATAGACCCACGTACCTCCCAACGCCACCACTGACCATAGAATCCGACGACCAGCCCACAAGACCTTGCCTGAAAAAGCAAAATCGTCAGTGGGAGAGCCGTGTTGATCCATCAACCTTCGGCAGCATCGGAGACGAAACGACATCTGGGATGGGCCGAGCAGTTGAGGACGACTGCGGGCCCGGGCCCCGAGTCCGCCACCGATGAGCAAGGCCAAACGATGGAGGATTAGAGAAGCGACGCTAGCGTTAGGGTTTTAGCGATCGAGAGGAAAAAGGGGAAAAAAACCAAAAAAATAATTGCTAAATGATCATCAAATTTTGAATATTGCAATTTTAATTCTATATCTTCGTTTAAAAATATCAATAACAATATCTCATTGGAAATTATATTAAATTTTAACAATTCTAACAATACTTCTCTCTAACAGTTGAATAATTGACGGAGATAAAATTTCAACAAAAAAATACTTCAATAACAAATTCTTATAAAACAAATTGTTTGGAATTATTACATTCCAACTAAAATTTAAAAGAAATTTATTTCCAACAAAATATTTTAATCTTTGCATTTCCAACAGAAAATTTTAGTGTTGACCTTTAACGAAAATTATAAAATGGGTAAATAACTTTTTGTCATCCGAACTATCACGATTTTGGCGCTTTACCATATAAATATTTTTTTTTTGCAAACCACCATATAAACTATACGTTTTTTACACTTTGCCCTCCAAAACCATATTTAAAGTAGTTTTGTAGTGAAAAAGCTGTTTTACAAGGATATTTCGGGAACTACAAATTTTAAAATATCACAAAAGTACCCAAGGGATGAAATCATAATTTATAGACTATTCAAAAATAATAAATCAACCCCACTTTTTTTATCAAATTCTCACAAACCCATTTTTTATTCATTTTAACTTTTTAATTTAAAAAAAAAAAGGAAATTCCGACTTCTACTTGAATCCGCCATCGTCGACTAACCCTCAACACCAGTCCTGAATCCTCGCCGTCGCCCCCCCTATTTGAGCCCTCCTCCAGCAATAGGTGAAATTCACCATGGCCTACCAACCTCAATCGCCAAATCAGGGCAACACCGCCGACGAGAAAAGCTCAAATCGCCGACTTTACAACCCTTACCAAGATCTGCACCTTCCGACGCAGACTCTCTACAATCTTCCCACCTCGTCGGAGTTTCTATTCTAGGAGGAATCCTTCGCCCAACGCCGCTCGTGGGGGGAGAGTCCTCACCTACTACACGGTCCGGTTGACCTTCAATTTTGTTGTGTCGCCCAAAGCCGCAAGTTTTTTCCGCCGCAACCCCGATCTCTTCTTCGGCCTCGAGAACCGCGTCAAATACACCGTCGTCGAGGTCCTCAATGTCGATGACCCAAGTCTTGTAGAAGAAGAAGTTGGATCAGGAGAATTCGGGCTTTTTTTCTTCGATATCCTCAATTTCGGCTCGACGACGCGGCGGCGGCGATGGATTTGTTCGGCCGGAACAATCTGTACTCGAGGTAATTATCGTAGAAGTTGGCGCTCGAGCTCGAAATTAGAGTTCTGGAGGGGGACACCGGAGACGGAGATGGAGAGTGATTGCAGGAGTGAAGAAGTGCAGTAGTTCTCGTTTTCTTCAGGCTTCTTTTATTTTTTTTTTTATTTATTTTTTTAATTTTTATAATTATCCAATTCCTAGAATAGCCCCAAAAAACCGGTTTGAATGAGGTGAAATCGGGCTTAAACCTGGTATAGGGAGCAATTTGACAAACTCGCACAGTTTATATGGTGGTTTGCAAAAAAAAAAAAATGTTTATATGGTAAAGCGCCAAAATCGTGATAATTCGGATGGCAAAAAGTTATTTGGTCCATTTTTTAACAATATTTTGAAACAATATATCAATATATCACAATTTCTAATTAGATATGTATACAATTTCGGTCCTTTTAGTCTCAAAATTGCAAAAAATAGTAATAATAATAATAATAATTAGTTGTTGATGACCGACTTGATTTCTTATGATTAATTAAAAACGGATCGTCTTATCTCGTTAATGACCCTTTGGAGTTATCGTTTAACAGCCAAACTTAGCTCAAGTCGGTACAGCTGAACAACTACCGACTTTTGGACGGCTTAAAAGAACCGACTAACCATTAACGTCTCAAAACCGACTTCACAGACATTTACATTAAAGATTATCCATTTATCCAAGATCCGAGAAGATCGAACTTCCAAGCAGGAGATGTTGTACGCTTTCAATTGGACCATCAAGTCAAAGAATAATCATTGATGTTCCCTCATTACATTACACGCCGCTTTATTGAAGCAGCTCAACATTAAATGCGATCTAATCTACCTCGGACAAAAAGACAAAACAAACTGTATCATAAATAGTAGAATTTAAGATTGTACGGGGATCTTTTTTGGGCACATTGTACACGGACTTAAAAAACATCTCGGTTACGAACAAAAAACCGACTTCCTGTACTCTTGTGAAACGATCAATCAACACGCAAATTTAAGTTTATTTTGTTTTTTACACATCTTGCTGTTTGTTTATTTGAGTTGTTAATTTCATACAACAACAGTTTGGCGCTAGAAGGAGGGCGCCCTCATAATAAATTTGAGGTTAACCTCCGATTCATCATATACAAAAATACAATACGTGATTGCCAGATAATCTCGAACAACAATCAACATGACGAGTTCTGGGCGTCAAGAAAGAAATCCAGACGCTGGAACCAGTCGTAATCTTTTCCAAACAACTGAAGATACGACTGCACCATCTATGACGATAGACTACTCTGTTCTATTTCAAGACCCAGAGTTTCTCAGAAATCTATCCAATCTCATGGCACAAACAAGAGCGGGACCAACCGTAACGGTTCCTAGTCAAACTCCTGCCCCAAATCCTCTAATAAGACGACAGACGCCGCCTGTTCAACAGCAGAATAATAATCTTGCTGCGTCTCATGCAACTTCACAACCACGGATTTATCCGCCACAACAAAATATAGCTGCTCAAAGTCATGGTGAAGTCCCTGTTAATAATCATCCACTAGAAGGGATTCAACCAGAAATTACTGCTGAAAGTCATTCAAGGCGTCGTCAGCAACAACCGGTGCCTTCATCACCAGCGACTTCGCAACCTGTTCGACAATCCGACTTGCGTCATACCATCGAAAGAAATCGGTTCAGACGTGAGAATGATGAATTGCGTCATACTATTGAAAGAAACCGTCTAAGACGCGAGTCGGAAGAGTTGCAAATATTAAGGAAAAGAATCTCCGAGTAAGAAACTCGGCAAGGCGGTCTAGAAGAGTCTCAATGCGGGGATCCCATCTTGGGAAATGTTTATTTAAAAGCTGAAACTCCATTAGCTCCACACTTGACAATGGAACCACTCTCTGGAAAAATTAAGGTTCCTCAAATCGGTCTTTATGATGGCACCTCGGATCCAGATGCACATCTCGGTCAATACACCTCATGGATGGACCTTCACGGGGCGACCGACACGCTTAGATGTCGGATGCTCTCACTAACCCTGGGACCTCGGGCTAAAAAATGGTATCACTCTTTACCTCGGTATTCAATTTCAAAATGGCACCAATTGAGAACGGCTTTTCGATCTCACTTCATCGGGGCCAGAGTATCTTTAATCCCAAAGGAGTCAATCGCTAATATTGTGCAAAAGGATAATGAGAGTGTTAAAGATTATATTACTCTGTTTAATGAATGAGTACAAAATATGGAGCAGTGCCATCCAGAAACACTGCTGATCACGGCGATAGCAGGATTAAAACTAAATTCCCTGTTCCGCTGGAGCATTTATCAGAATAAACCGACTTCATTCCAAGAGTTTCTAGCCCGAGCCCAACAACACATCATTGCTGGAGAATCAATGTCGGTTCCTACCCTCGACTTCTCTTCTAATAAGTCGGAGTTAGAGCAAGAATCAAAAAAGAAGAAAAACAAGTCTTTCAAACCAAATAAATCTCGGTTTGGGAATGCCAAAAATCCCAAGGTAAAGGAAGCAAGAGCTAAATATCTTAATGAAGTCAAGTCGAGTTATCAAACGGTATTTTCAGTTGGAGCCGCTACTATATTTGAAGAACTAAAAAGGAAAGGGATTCTTTCCGATCCTCGACCTGTGAGGACTTCAGAGGACAAACTCGATAAGACAAAATATTGTTCATATCACAAGTCGGCCGGACATGATACCGACGAATGCCTGGGCTTACTCTCTGCTTTGCTAAGGCTTATTGGACATCCACAAGTCTAAAGATTTGCCAAGAATGCCGATTATAAACGAAAAGGCAGATTGCCGGAACCCCTAGATGATGATGAGGACGATGACCGCCCGGTCAATCCAAAACGCATTAGGTAGGGCGACAAGGAAGTGTTTATGCTAAACCTGGAGGAGAATGATCCTTCATCTTCGGTAAAAATTGAAACGTTAAAACAAATTGGTTATTCTAATCCTCTTGGTTTTCATAATCTCCTGCGAGTTAACAACAGTACCGACAAAATATCGGAATCACGTCGGCAAATGAAGGCGTATGCTCGACAAGCTTATAATGCGGGCAAACACATCCTAACAACTGACCTCCGAGATAAGATCAGTGCTCAGAACAATTGTCCCATCACTTTTAATGTGGACGATGCAAGCTATTTCGCTCACCCACACTCCGATCCACTTGTGATCACAGCGCCAATCTGCGGAATACCTGTACATCGATTAATGGTTGATACAGGTGCATGTTCAAGTATTTTAATGCTCCGCACATTCGAACAAATGGGGATTGATCCTGTCAAGCTAAAACCTTGTAAAGATCAAGTACAAGGTTTTAACGGAACAATCACGCCAACTCTTGGTGAAAATAACTATGCCAATTCGATTTGGGATTCTTGGGCAAGCCTCCAAGCTTATTATGGAGACATTCAAAGTGATGGATCTCAAGAATGAATACAATTCCATCGTGGAGAGAACGGCCCTGTTCAAACTTCGCGCAGCTGTTTCAATTTTTCATTATGCTTTGAAATTTCCCACGAACAACGGAGAAGGGACCCATTATGGCGATCAATATGAAGCCCGCGGAATGGTATGGGTTAAACCTTGGCATGAATCGCCTTCCCTGATACAAATGGCAGAAGAAGTTCAGAAAGAACGAGAAAAACCATCGCCTTCTACAAACTCGGTACTTGAAAATACCGAGATGGAAATAGAACCGTCCGAGAAGTCAGAGTACTCGGAAGAGGGATTTCATGATGATCTAACTCAAGACCGTGGAAGACGTCCAGGGAAAGAACCAGTCAATGAAGAAGATGAACTCGATCCTCAGACTCAATTCAAAGAGAAAAACAAAGTTGACCGAGCTGAACCATCCGAAGAGTTCGAAACAATTTTCGTTGATGATCCTATTTGTGACAAGCCACTTCGAATTGGGGCCAATCTTTGGGAACCAATACGAACTCAAATCATCTAATTTCTCCGAGCAAACTCAGACGTATTCGCCTGGAAACATGAAGACATGAAAGGAATTGACCCTAATGTGGCTTCACACCGACTTAATCTGGATCCAACAATAAAGCCAGTGGTTCAGAAAAGACGTAAACTCGGTCCTAACCGACAAAAAGCTCTTGAAGAAGAAGTCAAAAAGTTAATCCATAACAAATTCATACAAGAAACTAAATACCCGACTTAGGTATCTAATCCTCTTCTAGTTAAGAAAAGTACCGGAGCGTGGCGACTTTGTATTGATTTCTCTGACTTGAACAAAGCTTGTCCAAAAGACAGCTATCCACTACCGCACATTGATTACATGGTGGACGCCACCTCCGGACATGAATTGATGAGCTTCATGGGTGCATATTCGGGTTATAATCAAATCCCTATGGATCCCGAAGAAGCAGAGTATACATCTTTTTATTCTGCCCGAGGCCTGTACTGTTATACAATGATGCCATTCGGTCTCAAGAACGCAGGGGCCACATATCAAAGGCTGGTTAACAAAATGTTCGCCAAGCTCATCGGGCATACCGTGGAAGTCTATGTCGATGACATATTGGTCAAGTCAATTCATGCTGCTGATCATGTCAATCATTTACAAGAGATGTTTAATATCCTCAGAGACTATTCCATGGTGTTGAATCCAAACAAGTGCACTTTCGGAGTCGGTTCTGGTAAATTCTTGAGATATATCGTGACACAGCGCGGTATCGAGGCTAATCCCTTGAAGATAAAAGCCATTCTGGACTTAACACCTCCCACATCGGTTAAAGGTGTTCAAGCTCTTACCGGCTGACTCGCGGCCTTGAACAGATTCATATCTAAATCAAGAGATCGTTGCAAACCTTTCTTTGAATCAATAAAGAAAGGAAGACGCTTTGAATGAACTAAGGAATGTCAACAAACTCTGCTCAAGATTAAAGAGACACTCGTTCAATCACCGACTTTGCAGAAGCCAGTGCCTGAAGAAATGCTGTATTTATACCTGGGAGTAAGTGAAGCTGCTATCAGTGCTGTCCTTATCCGAGAAGAAGGACCTCAACTGTAATGCCCCATTTAATTGTGATTTTATATTGTGGATTATTTGATTATTATTATTATTATTATTATTATTATTTATTAAATGTCTAAATATTATTAATTGTCTAATTGTAATTAATTGCCTAAATGTGTATTTGTGATATTATTATTATTATTAGTATTATAATTATTACTATCGAGTGTCCAGATATCACTAATTGTCTAATTGAAAATTATTGCTAATCGTATATTCTGATAATTAATATTATTATTTTAAAATAATGTGTGTATTAAATAAACATTATATCCGGTTTTATTTTATTAATCGTGCGATTTAATCGAGTCCGTAAATACCCGCGTGAACCATAACCGAGCCCGTGAGCCGATTTATTGTCGAATCGGCCCAACAAAACTGACCCGTGTGAATTTGTCTTGGGAGTCAAGACTAATGACCTAATCATTGCACATATATATACATTGCTTGTATCTATTTCTCTCTTTCAATCAACACGCCGCTCTCTCTCAATCTCTTCCTCTTGCCTAAATCTCGTCTTTTTCGGTAAATCTTGTCATCATCATCGCGCCTCGATCTTGACAGAGAAATCTCGTCTCCCTCTCGTTGGATATTTCTCACAGACCCGTCGCCATCAATCTCTCTAGCCACCAGATCTCCGGCGAGATTCCTCCCTCCACGCGAAGCCTCTCCCTCCTCCTGCATCGCCACTGTGAACCAGCATCTCGGGAAGCTTTTCCAGCAAACTCTGCAACTCCCGATGACACAGCAAGCCCCGTCGCCTCTCACCCTCCCTCCTCTTCGCCGGCGCGCCACCACGAGCAGGAACCCGTGAGCAATCAGCCGTCGCTGCTGCTCTACCACGCAAAGACCCGGTAACCATTGCCCCTGCTGCTACTCGTCGTCGCTGCAACTTCCGACGGCCACCATCACCGCATGCTCTTGAGAACTTCCTCCGCCGCAACTCGCCGTGAATCAGTAGTCCTCCGCCGTCGCAGCCTTCTTCCCGGCGACCCCTTGTTCGCGAGTTCTTCTTCTCCGGCGAGCCCCCCTCCTCCGCCGTGACCAACCTCTGCGAGCAGGCCCTTCCGGCGACCCACCACCGCGCGCAGGCCCTGTCTCCGCCGTACTGGAGCCGCTGCTCCACCGCGAGCCTCAGCCGAGCCCCGTTGAGGAAGGCCGCGACCCTGCTGCTCCTCCGTGAGTCCACCGACGAGCCGAGCGTGAGCCGTCGAGCCTCGTTGTGCGTCAACCCTCGTTCCGTTTTCGTGCGCATTCCCGAGAACGGTAACGACAGCTTGAACTCCAACTATTTACGATTCGATTTATTTTGTCGTGTTATTCGTGTTAAGTTTTAACGTGCTGTGTAATTGTGATTATGATTTCATGTGATTACGTTTGAATATTAATGTCTTATTATACGTGATCTTGGTTGATTCGTGCGAATCGAACGAGAACACGTTAAAAGTGTTAAGTTGTTGTGGATTTAGGAACTTAGGATTGTTACGAACACAATGGTGTTGTCCTTGTGTCGATTGGAGGTGTATATTTGCCGTTATGATTTTTCGAAGTTTATAATGGCTGTTTTGAATGTAAAATTCATTATAAATTGAATACTAGTCCGATTGCCTTGATATTTTAGGAGCAGCTATCTCTGATTGTGTAAAATTTTCGTGATTGTTGAAGGTCTGTGATATAGTCACATAAGGATAACCCGGTCCAGAAGCTCCTTACTCGACCGGTAAGCCGCTCGAATAACTCGCATGTCGACATGGCTCCGTCAACATGCTCAAATCGACTCTCTGAAAGACGATTCTATCAAGAGTAGCCGAGAAGAAATAGAAATGGCGCTAGTCGACACGCAAGTCGACTTTAGTTTATCAACTTTTACTAGTCGACATCATCGAAAGAAGAGCAACAAGAGCATAACACCCGAGCATCCCGACATCTTAAGTCGACTTTCAGTAGTCGACTCAACTAAAGCGACCCTCTTGAGACGACTTCACCTTAGAGAGTTAGCCATGCGTAGCTTCCGAAACAACATATATTCATAAGTCGACCTCCTAACTCTCGAGGTCGACTCTGTACATCTCGAGGATCAAAACAGTGAAGACGATTCACCATACTTAAAACATATCCGAAGCCTACACATTACACAGGATAAGGAGGAATCTGGCGATGACTCAGCAACAAGGGGAGACGAATCGACCAGGGCATTTTGGACCTTCTAGGTCCACCGACTTGGGCATTCTGGGTACTTTAGGTAAATATTCACTCCTATATAAAGGAGGTGAGGTAACCCTAAACCCTAACTCTCATTCATTCCCACTCTCCCCCATAGCTGCTGCGCAGCATCTCTTCATCACTCTCATACTGACTTGAGCGTCGGAGGCTCTACGCCGGAAACACCTCCGGCGTTGAGTTTTTGCAGGAATCTCGCGGTCTAGCAACGATTGGGAAGCAGTTCAAGCAGATCTGAGCTCACAACAACCGGTTTACTCCAGATCTGGAAGTAGACCCATCATTTGGCGCCGTCTGTGGGGAGTTCTTGAAGGAAGGAAGAGCTTCACACCCAGCTCCGATTTGTTTGCTGATGGCAGAGAAGGAGGGCTTGCAGAGGAACTTGAGCGAGGAATTTAGAGGGACGTGGATGGACAAGAGGCCACCACCAGTCTCCACCACCAAACACCCCGTGATGCAGATGATGGGGATGCCACCATTTGGAGGACTTCCACCGCCAGGACTGACGTTGGGCGGAGAAACACCTGTAACTCCAACCGGCGTGAAGCTGCAAGTGTTGACCCAGGCAGGAACAAGTTAAAACCCTAACCCAGATGGAGAGAAGGATCCAACGGAGATGTCTCGACGCGAGGGAAAACAGATACAAAAGATACCGGAGCAGACACAACCCCGCGTCGAGGAACAGACCTTGATAATGACGAGGAGTGAAATGCAAAGGATGATTGTTGAAGCCGTGGCTGCTAAGATGAAGCAGATGGCGCAGGCCGAGCAGCAGCCTCGAGTCGCGTGCCCACCCCGAGTCGAGCACCAGCCCTGTGTCGAGTACCCCCTACGAGTCGAGCAGCAGCCGCGTGGCGAGCAACAAGCCCAGTCAAATGTACAACAGAACAGAAGGGTAGACGAAGAGGAATCCTCCGTTCGAACTGTTAATCCACAGGCAAGGGACGAGACGTTAGAACAACTACTGGCACAGGTTCGCGACTTGCAAGCTCGAGTCGGTGGGAGGAAGAGCAGAGGAGCAAAAGAACACCCATTCTCGCAGCAGATCCTAAGAGCCGACTTACCCAAAGGCTTCAGGGAGTTGAACATATGGTATGACGGTACCACAGACCCATCTCGACATCTAAGGAGCTTTGAGAACATGGCGGTGCTCCACAGCTACAGCGACCCCGTACAGTGTCGCGCCTTCTTGACGACTCTGACAGGGTCGGCCCAGGACTGGTTTCATCAGCTTCCAGCGGGGTTGATTAGGGACTTTGATAGATTCAGTTCGAGTTTTCTTAACCAATTTGCAAGTGTGAGGGTGCAAGAGAAATCCTATCGTTCGCTAATAAGTATGCAGCAGAAGAAAGGCGAGTCATTGCGAGAGTATGTCGCGAGATTTACAAAGGCGTGTGTCGAATGCCCAACAGCGACAGAGGAAATCAAATCAGGAGGACTGACGAGAGGATTGCTACCAGGGTTGTGTAAAAACTCTTTGGCCAAGCGACCTGGTAGGAGCTTTGATGACGTGTTAGGAAGGTGCGCCAAATACATGAATGTCGAGGAGGCCGAAGCCGACTATTTGCAAAATGTAAAAATGTCCCAAGCGGAGAGTCGAAACGACAAGGAGAAAAAGGGCCCATCGACAGGAGATAGAAGGGGATCACCGAGAGCTGATAGGAGTGAAGGCCGGTCTAGGGGATGGAGACTAACTCAATATACACCACTGTCGGCTCCTCATGCGAGAATTCTAGAAGTAATGGAGAGGGAGATACGCGACGAGGTGGTGAGATGGCCGCGGACGAGGAAGGACGGACCCACGAAACCGAAAAGCAACTTATATTGTCGATTCCACAAAGATTACGGGCACAACACTGACGATTGTCGACACTTGAAGGACGAGATTGAAAGGTTGATAAAGGCAGGCCACCTGAAGGAGTTCATATACAAAGATAGGGAGAGGTCGAGCAGGAGATGAGAAAGGAGCAAGAGTCCTCGCAAGAGGGCGAGATCACCAGACAAGGAGGAACTTCCACCAAAAAGAGGAGTAATTAACATGATTTTTGGAGGATCGACTGATGGGGATTATAATCGAGCAAGAAAGGCCTATGCTCGAGGCCGATATGCGAAAGTTGAGGTGCAGCAGGTTGACGAGAATGGACCAGTGATGAACTTTGGACCGGCGGACGTTGGTGGAGTCGAGAGACCACATAACGATGCCATGCCCTGATGATAACTGCGCAAATATCAGGATACGAGGTGCAAAGGGTGTTTACCGACACCGGGAGTTCCACGAACGTGATCTTTTACGAATGCCTCAGAAGGATGGAGCTAGACATCGAACTTACGCCTCTGCATACATCACTCTTTGGATTTAATGGGTCGGAAGTCGCTCCCTTGGGAGAAACCACGCTTGCTGTCGTCTTGGGGGAGGGCGACTTGAGGAAAGTAAAAATGGTGAGGTTCGTGGTAGTCGACGTCGAGTCGGCTTACAACGTGATTCTCGGAAGGCCGGCACTCAATGCTTTTCAAGCAGTCGTGTCGACCTATCATATGAAGTTGAAGTTCCCTGTGGGTGATCGAGTAGGAGAGGCTCGAGGGGATCAGAAGCTGTCGAGAACCTGTTACCAGATCGCGGTCAAAACCAATCAACGTGCTGAGATCAAGGAAGGCAAGAAACCAATGACGAGCGAAAAGAGGCCGAGAGGGAGTGACCTCGAGCCCCACGGAGAATTGATGGAGATTCAAATAGGAGAGTCAAAAGACCAAACCACGAAAGTCGGGAGAGAGTTGGAGGATGAGTTGCGAGAACAGTTGGTTGGGTTGCTAAAAGAATTCAGGGACATATTCGCTTTCTCTTCCGAAGAGTTAACGGGAATCGACCCGGAGGTTATGGAGCATAAACTCAATGTCGACCCCTTCAGAAAACCCGTAAAGCAGCGACTCAGGCACCACGGCGCTGAGATCGACAAAGCCATCGAGGTCGAGGTGGACAAATTACTAAAGGCCAAACCTATCAAGGAAATCCAATTCCCCGAGTGGATATCTAACACAGTGATGGTGATGAAGGCGTTGAACAAATGACGCATGTGCATCGACTTTCGTGACTTAAACCTGGCGTGTCCTAAAGATCATTATCCTTTGCCAAGAATCGACCAGCTAGTCGACTCCACGGCTGGTTGCGAATTGCTGAGCATGATGGACGCATCTCAGGGATACCATCAAATCCCTCTGGCTCCGGAAGATCAGAGTAAATTGAGTTTCGTGACGAGTAAGGGGACATATTGTTACGTTGTCATGCCCTTTGGCCTAAAAAATGCAGGAGCAACCTACCAGCGATTGATGGATCGAATGTTCAAACCCCAAATCGGTCAGAATATTGAAGTATACGTTGACGATATCCTGGTGAAAAACAAGTCCTCGACTTCACACCCAGACGACTTGAGGGAAACCTTGAACACCCTTAGGACGTTTGGGATGAAGTTGAACCCAAGAAAGTGTGCGTTCGGGGTAAAGGCGGGGCGATTTTTGGGATATGTCGTCACGGAGCGGGGAATCGAGGTAAACAAAGACAAGGTGAAGGTCATACTCGACATGGCTCC